AAAGGCTCAATAACATATGGGAAAGAGAGTTCCCCGCCAGTATCATACGCCCTACACAACAGCTCATCTGTGAGACGACACTGGGGGTTTGAGCACCTCGGATGACCTGAAGGCCTCCTCCGACGAAACAATCAATGAGGCCGCTGTCGCTTAAAGAAAGCGCTACCATAGTCCCCTGCGGGACATCCAACCCCAAGTGGGCGAGTGCAGAGCGGACGGCAGAGGGAGTCCCACTCTCCTCGCTGTCCAGGCACCCCGTGGAAGCCAATGAACCAGCTTCAGATGCCCTGGAGTCAAACTTACATCGTCAGGCACAGGAGGGCCCATCACATGTTCCCCAGAAAACGAACGAAGCCGGGCGGTCCATGCGCACAGAATGCGGCAACACGGCACAATTAGAGCAGGGGTCCACCGTCAGGCCCTATCTCAAATGCCCGACACCCAGGCACGCAGGGCAGAGGTCATGGCCGTCATCACCCAGCATCAGTGCCATGCACCCATGGCAGCAAAGCGACTCGAGCATAATGAGTGCCTAAAATCGGCGGAGCAGTCCAAACACAGACAGCCAGAGTCGAGTTGGGCCGAAAAACGCCACAAATGACTCAATCAAGGCAGGAACCAATCAGAACGGCAAAAGATCAGGTTGAGTGTGCACGCCACCTGGAACCCAAAGGCCCCCAATGTAAACAGTGTAAATCAAATACAACTGAACCGAGAGCGAACAGTATCGCCATCCATCCATTTTCTTCCCCTTAATCCATTTCTGGGTCAGGGGGGCGGCAGGCAGAGCTGCACCCAGTACACAGAGCACCAGCCCTTCACTGATCCTCCTGCAGGTGGTGAGTCCACTGGAACCTAGATCTTTCAGCAGGAGCTTCAGGCAAAGTGGGGTTAAGTGTCTTGCCCAAGGACACAACAACAGAAGACATTAACGGGAGTCTTGAAGTAGGTCTTGTGGTGTACTCAAACCCACAACCTTCAGGCCCAAAGGCCAATGCTCTACCAGCTGAGCCAACAGTGGCGAACAGTATCTGTCGGTAGAAAATGCTGTTAGTGTACCCCCGAAAACAGAAGACCTACGCATGCACGCACACACGAACAACGTGGCCCGATGAAAGATTAAGAGATCCTTTATTCATCTCACAGTGGGGAAATTTCAGATTCAGAAAGAGCCAAGTGGGGCAAAGGACGCTACACATGACTCTACAAGCACCGCCCAAAAAGAGGACAAGCAACAAACTGAACAGTAAGCGAACAGCACAAATGTTGATAAGCAAACGTTAGCTCACTCCGAAAAACAGAAATGCCAAGCAAAATAGGAAGCACACATGCAACACGTGGAACAGAACTCACCGGTGAGCCGGTGGAGCTTGCAAAGCCCCTGAGGGGCGAGACCCACCCGCTGCCTCGGCAGAAGTCACGGAGCTGGGGGGCAAGCTGTACGGAAGTAGCAGGCAAAGCTCAAACACTCAACTCAAACCTGCGCTGCGAGAAGAAGAAAAGAGACTGGGCTCTCGTGTCACGTGACTATATAGACTCGCGTGGGTCACAAGGAGGTCACAAGTGACTTTGTTGACATTTCATTCTCAAACTGCGCATGCTCAAAGATGATCATTCAGTGCTTAAAGCACCGCCTCTGGCGGTCAGGAAGGATGAAATAGATGATGATGACTACTGTATAGATGTTTCTGGTGTTTTTAAACGTATTGTTTTTCAGTAAATAAATCTGTTTGGTTATCAGGCTGGTCGGCTCCTTCTGCCATCGGGATCGCAGGTTTAGGAGGAGGATTTGAGATCGGAGCGGAGGTTGAAGCGTTTTATAATACATTCACACTGCATCACAAAAACCAGACTTTCTGATTGCAATCATTGTAACCCAGGTGTCGGACCTGGTGATCATCCTGAACCAGCGAAACGCCATCGAAGCTTTTTCTAAAGGAGGGAATCTGACGCTCGGAGGCAACTGCACCTTGGCTGTGGGGCCCATGGGCAGGTTAGTGGTTTGCCGTGGTTCTGTATGTTGTACTGTGATATACTGATGCGGGCGGTAGGTTTTGCAGCTCTCGTGAGGTCAGACTTTAGGTCTGAGTTTGTGACTGATGACAAATGCTGCTCATAAAAACTAGAATTTGATATTATGACGCATTCGTTCAGATCTGTGTGAAAGTAGCAAACATGAGCTAATGCTAAACACCAAACACCAATTATCGTCTCCATCCCAAGTTTTAATCAGTTCCATCTTACAATATTTGCCTGCTAACAGCGATGCTAACCCGTTCCGGTGTACCATTTTTAACTTTAATCTGTGCGTGATTCCGTTGTCATAGAAACGTGGAGGCGGACGTGGCGCTGAGGAGTCCGGCCGCCGTCTTCACCTACTGTAAATCCAGAGGTCTGTTCGCCGGGATATCACTGGAGGGATCCTACCTCATCGAGCGCAAAGACACCAACCGCAAGTACGTTACTATATACTACTGCTAATACTAATGCTACTGCTATTACTGCAGCTGCTCCATACTGTTAGCATGATTGCTTCTTCTTCTTCTACTGCTGCTGCTTCTCACATGTGTATATTCGATGTTGTTCAGGTTCTACGCTCGGGATATTAGGGCGTCGGCCATTTTGAACGGCGACGTGGAGCCTCCTCCCGACTGCTACAACCTGTACCACATCCTGGACGTTTACACCGAGGCGTACGCTAACGACTGGAGCGCCAAGAACCCCAGTGTCAAGGTGAGGAATCTGCATATTCTCCTCCCCCTTAAAGCTGGGGGACATAACTTACAAACCACAACAATAGAACTCTAATAAGATCCTCGTCACTAATCCTTGGCTCTAAAACAGTTGGTTCTATCCCTAGTTGCATGTTTTTTTTTTTTACCTCTGTCACATCTTTACATCAGCCGACAGAAAAGGGAAAAACAGAGGACCACCCTCACTCAGCCAATCAGCTATCTGGCCAAAAAGTTGAATAATGACTCACGGGGCTCTTTCTTTTGTTTACTTGTTTCCAGTCGGCCATCGCTCCATCCAGACCTCCTCCGGTGAAGAGACCCACCAACAACTACCAGCCACCAGCAACCACCTACCAACCCCCACCACAACCGAGTCCCCCTCAGTACCATCCGCCTTCAGTCCAGTCCACAGGTACAAGGAATACTGCTTCTGCAAAATCTGAGTGTTCTTATGTCTGCTTCTATTCTGCTGTAATGTGAGCAATTATGACATTGAAATTTCCCCACTGAGAGATGACTGAAGGTTTATCTTATCTTACTACTACTACTCCTACTGATGCTACTTCTACTACTGCTGCTACTCCTACTGCTGCAGATGCTACTTCTACTACTCCTACTACTGCTGCTGATGCTACACTCTTGTTCTGTCTGCAGGCAGTAAAAACGCCCTCTATCCCAGTATCTCCGTGTACAAGTCCAACACGTCGTGTGAGTTCTGCTTCATCTCAAACAAATCTTCAGTTTTTGTCGTTTTGCCTCATTTCTTTTCTCTCCCTTTGCAGCTCGACAGCCTCCGAGTTACGGTAAGTGAAGAAAATAATTAGGTCTTTAACGGCACAGTGCGCTCTATTAACGCTCCCATCCTGCAGATGGCGCAGCAGCCTCTCAGTGGGGGGGTTCCACTGCTCCGCTGGTTGTCACGGCGACACACCCATTCACCGGACAGCAGCCCGGCGACCTGAGCTTTTCCCCCGGCGACCGTATCACCGTCATCACCAAAACAGACAATCAGTACGACTGGTGGGAGGGACAGACGGCCGACGGCAGGACCGGCATCTTCCCCGCCAACTTCGTCAACTACTAATGGAACTGCAACTACGGGAGCACAAGAGGGACTACAACTACAACTACGGGAGCACAAGAGGGACTACAACTACAACTACGGGAGCACAAGAGGGACTACAACTACAACTACGGGAGCACAAGAGGGACTAAAACTACAACTACGGGAGCACAAGAGGGACTAAAACTACAACTACGGGAGCACAAGAGGGACTAAAACTACAACTACGGGAGCACAAGAGGGACTAAAACTACAACTACGGGAGCACAAGAGGGACTACAACTACAACTACGGGAGCACAAGAGGGACTACAACTACAACTACGGGAGCACAAGAGGGACTACAACTACAACTACGGGAGCACAAGAGGGACTACAACTACAACTACGGGAGCACAAGAGGGACTACAACTACAACTACGGGAGCACAAGAGGGACTAAAACTACAACAATGGGAGCACAAGAAGGTCAAAGAACTACAACTATGGGAGCACAAGAAGGTCAAAGAATGGTAACTCAAGTGGGACTAAAACTATAACTACAACTATGGGAGTCCAAGAGGGTTTAAACTACAAAGTCATCAGTCATTGGATAAGATTTTACAGATTTTTTTGTTCATTATTGTATATTTTTACAAGACTCTGTTGGGCCAAAAAACAGAAATACTGAGATTTCTGTGTCAGCAGCTCATGGTGTTGTCACATATGTGGGAGCTCTGCAGAACTCTATTGAAACCAGTCTTCCCTTTCAAAATAAAATGGATGATTTCAACTGTTAAATTATAATGGCAATCTTACTTTGCTGTTTTAATCTATTAGTAATGATTTTGATAATAATTGCTGATAATTTTCAGATTTTTATGATGTTTTATTGTGATAATGGAATAAAGATTTTCACTGGTTTTGGTTTTGCTTCTTGTGGTCGATGCAGTAGTTCCATTGAGTGGAATAAAACACATTTTATTTACAAAAGGCAATATATACAATCTATAAACTATTATACGTCTATATACGCATACATGTGAGGAAGGGACAACAAAAATGGGAGCTCATGAGAAACAAAAATACAACTATGGCAACACAAGCGGGACAAACTGCTTTATACAAAAGAATATCACTAGTAAATACAGGCATTGGCACCAGGAACTTTAGTCCCCCAGATCCTATTGAGACTGAATAGTTCCTCTGGCTGTTGTCACATGGGTCATATCGGCCCTGATGCATTGTGGGAGCTCAGAGCAACAGTCCCAGAGGATCTTTGGTTGAAATGGTCTTTATCTTCACCGATCCTAGAAAAGAGAACTGTAAGTGTCTTGCTTTAGTCTTGCTTTAGTCTTGCTTTAGTCTTGCTTTAGTCTTGCTTTAGTCTTGCTATAGACCTGCTATAGACCTGCTTTAGTCCTCTTTTAGACCTGCAAGAATCCTCCCTGTCTCCAGCAGGGCGCTGTCCTATGTTTGGAAAAAAGAAAAGAACTAAGTGTCTTGCTTAAGACCTGCTCATAACCTACTTTAGTCCTGCTTTAGACATGCTCTAGACCTGCTTTAGTCGTGAGCCCTCACCGTCTACAGCAGAGGGCCCTGTCCCATTTTTGGTCTCTTTGGTTTTGTTGTTCGCAGTCATGCACAGAATCAGGAAGTGGTGAGCCGCTCGTCTCCGGGAGCAACAGGCACAGTGCACAGCCTGTGATTGGTCCGCTGCTGTACACCAACATGGCGCCCAAAGAGATGGCTCCCTCTGAGGAAGGCAGGACTAAGGCGTTGGCGAGCGAGCCAAGTCGAAAACAGAGGTTCACAAACGAGACGCAGCGCTGTCTGAAACCACAGGGAGCAGCACACTCACATTCTGACCACAGACCGTGTACAGATGGACCATGCTAACATAGACTGTATACAGAAGGACCATGCTAACATAGACTGTATACAGAAGGACCATGCTAACATAGACTGTATACAGAAGGACCATGCTCACATAAAAGGACAACTTATGAACATCTGTAACATCAATAACATTCATGGTCATTGGTCTCTGGCACTCCTGGACCAACGGCAATGTGTTTTTCATTGTTGCATTTACAGTATTTTCTGATCTGTGTGGGCGAATCGACAACTTTGTAAAGTCCTCTGAGATTGCTACTGTTGTAATTTAGGGTTATACAAAAATAAATTGAATTGAACTGAATATAGACCGCATAAAGATGGACAATGTTAACTCCCTAGCTCAATGAAGAGCTCATGGATGAAGTCTTGCTCAAACTCAATTGAATGGAATAGATGAGGCAGTTACCGGATAACGGTGGGGAAGAGCTCAATGCTGAATAGGTTGCAGATCAGAGAGGCCATAAGGATGCAGAGTTTTCCCAGGAGAGCAGACGTCATGACCCACACGGCCTCACCTGCACCAGAGAGGACATCACAGTACCAGAAAGAGACCAAAGGGAGACCAGAGAGAGAGAGAACAGAGAGAGACCAGAAAGAGACCAGAGAGAGAGAGAGAGAGAGAGAAAGACCAGAAAGAGAGCAGAGGGTGATCAGAGAGAGACCAGAGAGGGAAGGCTTCTTAAAGGCCTCTGTTGGCCCTGTCTCAGTAGCATCAGTAGCATCAGTAGCATCAGTAGCATCAGTAGCTCTTACAGTGGTAGTGGGACAGCAGCAGGGACAGGATGCAGGCGACTCCGCTGGTCAACAGGGCCAGGATGGTGCTAAGTCGTCTCCCCAGTCGAATCAGAGGGACCAGGAGACATGGAGCCTCGGTGAGACCAGAGACCAGCAACGCCGAGTGGACCGAGACCCCGAAGGAGCCCAGGTTCAGACAGATCCCATAGTATGTCAGCGCAGAGACCACGCTGACAGAAGACAGGAGTTTACCACCAGAGAGCCGAGAGAGAGCAGAGACAGGCCAGAGAGACTAGACAGGGAGAAGAGAGAGCACACTGAGACAAGACAGGAGTTTACCACCTTCTACTCACCTCATGAGAACAGAGAACGGAAAAAGACAGAAAAGAGAAGAGGGAGATCATAGAGAGACCAGAGAGAGAGGGAGAGAGCAGAGGGAGACCAGAAAGAAAGAGACAAGAGGAAGAAACCACAGCGAGATAGTAATGAATGTTATTTTACCAGAAAAATAACCAGATCTAATCTATGTGCAATACTTTTGTCTTACAAGCAGAGCTCTGTCTAAATGTGATGTCATGGTGATGTCATAATGGTACGATGACATCAAACTGTTCTAGGACTGAGACAGGAGCTTATAGACAAAAGGGGCGGCTCTACATGTTTGTGCTTCCTGATGTTAGCGTGGATGGAGCAAAAACACAACTCCAGGTCTGTGACTGAGGATGAGCGTTGGTGTGAAGACCTGATGAAGCTCATGATGAAGAGACGCTTGAGGACCGTGGGGTGTCGCATGTTGATGATGTCATTGTGAGCCGAGTCGCTCTCGGTTTTGGCTTCAGTGGATTTCTGCAGCTCCGAGAGGGCGGAGTTCAGCAGCTGTGACGACAACACAACACTCACAACAAACACACAAAGAACACACAACACAGAGCACCTACAGATACACATACATGCGCAAAGCACAATACACACAACACTCACAAACACACAATACAGGACACCTACAGATACACGTACACACGCAACACAACACACAACACTCACAAACACACTCAACTCACACACACAACACTCACAAACACACAATACAGGACACCTACAGATACACGTACACACGCAACACAACACACAACACACAACACTCACAAACACACTCAACTCACACACACAACACTCACAAACACACAAATCCTATCAAAACAATGAAATAGACAAACACAACACTCACAAACACAACACACTCAAATACACACAACCCACATAAACACACACACACAGAAATACACAACACCACATCTCTACCAAAGCTGTGCTCTGATTGGCTGGTCTAACAAAGCTCTATTCAGGTCTGTTTATGTTCCAATAAATGATTCCAACAGAGCGTGTCTTAGCAACCTCTGGCCACAGTATCCACTGTGCATGGATCTATAATAATAACTGGATGGGGTATTACGAGCTTATAGCTGTCCCACCCATGGGCACAGGGGGCACCCGTGGTACTGCAGACTAAATTCACGCAGGCTACCCAGAAAAAAGTCCCATAGAACTCAATGTAAACTAAAACAGCTCAACCTCAGCTGACAGAGAACCTACAGCTTTCATAAAGGTCGGATTTTGTGGGGACTTTAGTATCCCTTGTCATCCTGAACTTTTTTCCTTCTTAAATCCAGTTTTCTATAAATCTACACTTTACTGTAATGCAACAAACTCAGCTTGTTTTCCTCCCGCTCTACCGCTGCTCTGATCAGCAGCTCTGATTGGTCAGAGCGTGGTTGAGCCCCTCTGTGCACATTTATGAGAGCCACATACGCGTATTTGACCTCATAGGAGCTCGTTAAATGTGCAGAACCGGGAGGACCAGACAATGCCCAAATATGGGCGAGTTCCGCTAATCTCTCGGTCCTCCTGTAAGTAAGTAAGTAAGCTTTATTTATATACCGCCTTTCACAGACCGCCTTTCAACCCCGCCGAAGCCGAAAGCTCCCATCTTTCACACAGAGATGGGAGCGGGGTTGCCGAACAGGAGGCTGTACTGTATGTCCCATGCCCTACTGAGCACAAGCCATTCATTTGAATAGGACGCCACCTTGGATCGCTGGGGCTTGGTACTGTGATGGGAGACCTCTGAAGCTAAGCAGGGCAAGGCCTGGTCACTACTGTGATGGTTGACCTCTAGGAACACCAGGTGCCACAGTGGGGTGGCTGCTCAGGGAGGGCAATAAACTGTATATCGTAGACAAGATATGCTTTTTCGCAATATTGTCTTTTTTTAATTTATTTTTTAATATATCTCCAATACATACAGAATTACAATCAGAACAGGCAAGATGCCCATTCGTCAAATGCGTTTCTAAAAAGCCAATCACTGCTTTATTTGTAAATCTCTATTGGATGTGTTCATTCCATGTCACATAAATTTGAATTTTAATGTTAATGAATGCTTGTGCATGTTTTGCAAAGATGTGTGAAGCACTTTACAAATAAAAAGCTGCTATTTTGATGTGCAGTGTCTCTATTGATGCCCTGGCAAGCAAAACTTTGCAGATCACTTTGTGCGAAAATGTGATTCTAGAGCAGGCATGTCAAAGTCAAATACATCAGAGGACCAAAAAAACAAATTTGCTGGGAGCCGAGGGCCGGACTGGTTCAATGTTTATTAACTCATTGCCTGCCAGCCTATTTCAGAACAGGTATTAGCATATTGCCAGCAGTTTCTGAGGATTTTTATAGATTTTTCAAGACCCACAGAATATTGTGTACTATGACTATCTGAAATCCGAAACCAGATTCTGAAAGAATAGACTGTCTACTTTCATCAGCAAAAATAATTTTGTTTCTAGCTTGTAATTCCCAGTTGAGTAGAGGGAAGTTTTACTGAAATCACCAAAAAGCTGAGAAAAAGAGGCACAACAAGTGCATCTAGCTGTTTTCAAACCATTCGGAGAGCGCTGCTGCCACCTGCTGGCTCGATTCAATATGCTCTCAAGCTTATCCCCAAACATATTAGATATAATAGACATCTGGGAACATGAAAATAGCGGAAAGCGCAATTGACGTAATAGTGCGTCAATGGCAGGCAACGGGCCTTGACTTTGACACCTGTGTTCTAGAGATATTGGCCCTCATTTATGAAACTTGCGTACGGTCAAATCAGGGTGTAAATGAGGCGTACGCAAAAAATGTACACTTTTCGGCATTTATCAATTTGGACCTGAGCGTACGGTACGCACAAAATATACGCCAAGTCAGTAGGTGGTGTAAATGAGTCTGCTCATTTCAACCTCCATTACAACATGCCAAAACACGCATGAAATTCAAGATTTGGACAACAATAAACATGTTCCCTCTGGCAAAATAATAAGCTGCGTTTTCATTGGGAAACACCCAAACTTCGAATAAATCACAGTTCATGATACGTTCATCATGAGGACCCTCTTCTGTTTCTTTGTGTTTAAATCTGACTGGTTTTGTACAAACTGAACACACAAAATATACTTCAGTCCACTCTTAGGAATGCCGTTTATTTAATGACAGAAAATAAAATAGTTCCCAAAGGTTTACCTGTGGCTATGCGAGTAACAGTTAGGCTAGCAACTTCCAAACTAAAGTTCTAGTTCTGACTATAGTTGTAGTCAGAACTAGAATTCTGAACATCAGCGGTGAGTGACCCATACATAAACTTAACCTAAATCCATAATCCGATCCTCCGCAAATGTGTCCTAAAATGTCCCGGAAGGGTTTTTCCGCAAAAGCGTTTTCTCACATTAAAACAGTATTTTTGTCATGAAAACGTTAACAGATACTTCTGAAAACCTCTGTGCACGTGTGTTAAGAATGTATATGTATAATGTATTCTCCGATTAACATTTAATTGTGTTGATTGATTGATTTGAGAGGTCCGTTATCAAGAAATAATGACCGGTAGAACGTTTTGAAATAACATTCAAATCAATGGAGCGTTCTACTGCTGCTGTGAGGAGCCGTGTAATATATATATATAATATAGCATATATTTCTTTTTAAACAAGCCTTTTGTGGCTTCCAGTCTTCCTGGCTTCCAGAGTTCCATGCTGACCTGTCGTGAAACAGGCGGTTTCTGAATATTTATAGGCGTGACTTTCATAAATACGCTGGTTTTCACCGCTGCATTTACTAATGCGCGTACGCTCAGATCTGGGCGGATCTCACACGTTCATAAATCTTGCGTTGGGTCTTGCGTATATGGAATCTACACCAAAAATATACACCCTTTTCTGTGCAAGTTTTATAAATGAGGGCCACTGTGACAATATTGTTATGGGGAGTTGGTATAAAAAATATTGAGATATTTATTTTTGCCCATATTGCCCACCCCTGGCGGCTGCGGCTGTAAAGTGCCAAACTGTTGCTGAGCCCAAAGGCAAGACACATCCCCCACATTAGAATGAGTCTGGTGTGTGTGAATGGTTGTTGGTGGTGTGCCCCACGGCAGCTGTGGCTACAGTTTGCTGTGAGGCATCTTTGAGAGTTCAGAAAAGCGCTATATAAAAACCTGATACATCTGAGTTGCAACGGTTCTATTGCTGTTAAAACACAAACATCAATTACTTCACTACAATAGGATCAAACATGAAAACTGCCTCAGCAGAAACACATTATTACCGTGACGACACCTGATCACGCACCACATCCCAGAGCCGACACTTGGGACACTGAACTCACAAAAAAAAATTAAGTATTATTTATTTAGCACATTTCACAGGCTGAGGTCACAAAGCACTTTAAAGAGTTGATACAGGCAAGAACACATTATAGCATCACCATCCTCCACTCTGTCTCCAAACTACTGCTGTAGCCATAGCTGCCCTGGGGCACACTGACACCCCCCCACACACACACACACCAGAATCATTCTAATGTGGGTGAAATGTTTTGACTAAAGACACAACAACAGACACTTTCCAGCCGCAGCCGCCCCACTCTGGCACCTGGTGTTCCCAGAGGTCTGGACTTAGGTCTGCTTAGCTTCAGAGAGCTGTCAGGATGTGGCTGTAACCTGCATGTAGCATAAAATTGGTCAAAATTACCAGAGAGAAAGACCAGCAAGAGAGGGACCAGAGAGAGACCAGAGATAGATTAGAGCGAGACCAGAGAGGGACCAGAGAGAGACCAGAGAGAGAATAGAGAGACCAGAGAGGGACCAGAGAGAGAGAGACCACTTAAAACACAATATGAGAGACTACTTAAATCACCTTAACGATATAATCGAACTGCAACTTTATAAAATAAAAATACACAAAAATAACTCTCGTATTGTTCTCAGTTTGCTTCAGTAGATTTCACTCACGTCTGGGACCATGTGAGTGAACTGGTACCTGCTCTGAAACCATGTGAGTGAACTTGTACCTTGTCCAGACAGTGTTTGTCCTTCTTGCTGTTGCCGCGGTAACGCTCCAGAACATCCAGCCTCTTCTTCAGCAGTAGCCACCGCGGAGACTCTGGGATCCAACTGAAAATAACATTGTCTGGTCTCTTTCTTGGGTCTCTCTGGTCTTTCTCTCAGATCCCACTCTGGTCTCTCTCTCTGGTCTCTATCTGATCTCTCAGGTCATACTCTGGTCTCTCTGATCCCGCTCTGGTCTCTCAGGTCTCTTTCTGGTTTCTCTCTGGTCTTTCTCTCAGATCCCGCTCTGGTCTCTCTCTCTGGTCTCTATCTGGTCTCTCAGGTCTTACTCTGGTCTCTCTGATCCCGCTCTGGTCTCTCTCTCTCTAGCCTCTTTCATGTCTCTCTCTCTGGTCTCTCGCTGGGCTCTCTCTCTAGCCTCTCTCAGGTGTATCATTCTAGTCAAAATATCTCTAACCTCAGACTTTTGACGAGTACCATAGTTACGTACAAGACCAGGGGCAGGAAGGCAACCTGCGGCAGGCCCAGGGCGAGGTGGAGCCAGGTCCAGGAGGGACTGGTCCAGGCCACAGCGGCTCCAGCCATGGTCCCCAGACTGAAGCAGAAGGGCAACACGGCGGGGGGCCAGAGGCGGGAGCGAGGCAGGGTCCACTCCACCGCTGAGGGTCACAGACACAGCCTCATTAGGGGCCTCAAGGCTGGGGGCTTCAGAGCCGGTACCCAGGACCCCGCTGGGATCCAGTCTCATTCACTCTGCTTCATTGAGGTTTCAGCGCATACGTGAAGTTTTTGTGATTTTCAAAACCATCGGGAAAAAAATGAAACGTCGTCAGTTTTGATGTTTGTTTTTTTTATTCCACTGATCTCAGAACTAGTGAAACTACAATGTTCTAGACTTTCGCCATTCAAAATGCACCATTCTCTGTTTTTTCTGGACACTGGACTCTAGTCTCTCTCTGATTTCTTCCTCTGGTCTCTCTCTGGTGTCTGTTCTTTCTCTCTGGTCTCTCTCTGACTATCTCTGGTCTCTCACTGGTTTCTCTCAAGTCTCTCTCTGGTCTCTCCCGAGTCTCTCTCTGGTTTCACACTCTGGCTTCTCTCTCTGGACTCTCTCTCTGGTTCTCTCTCTGGTCTTCTCTCTGGTCTCTCCCTCTCTGGTCTCTCCCTCTCTGGTTTCTCTCTGGTTTCTCCTTCTGGTCTCTCTCTGGTTTCTTTCTCTGTTTTTTCTCTCTGGTCTCTGATCTCCCTCAGATCTATCTCTGGTCTCTCTCTGGTTTCTCTCTCTGGTCTCTCTCTCTCTGGTTTCTATCTCTCTGGTTTCTATCTCTGGTGTCTGATCTCTCTCTTTAATTTCTCTCTCTCTCTCTGGTCTCTGATCTCTCTCTCACTGGTTTTTCTCTCTGGTCTCGTCAAGAGGAACCAGTTGAGGTGGCTCGGGCATCTGTTCCAGATGCCTCCTGGACGTCTCCCTGGGGAGGTGTTCCGGGCACGTCCCACCGGGAGGAGGCCCCGGGGAAGACCCAGGACACGCGGGAGGGACTATGTCTCTCAGCTGGCCTGGGAACGCCTTGGGGTCCCCCCGGACGAGCTGGAGGAAGTGTGTGTGGATAGGGAAGTCTGGGCGTCCCTGCTTAGACTGCTGCCCCTGTGACCCGGCAACGGATGAAGCGGAAGAAAATGGATGAATGGATGGTTCTCGGGTCTCTCTCTGGTTTTTCTCTCTGGTCTCTGGTCTCCCTCAGATCTATCTCTGACCTCTCTCTGGTTTCTCTCTCTGGTCTCGGCTCTCTCTATGGATAGCAATAGGGTCGAATGCTAACGTGCTAATTAGCGATGCTGGATCATTAAGAGTCAGAACTCACCGAGGCTGAAGGAGCAGTTACTGATGATGCAGGAGCAGATTCCTGTGACGCATCGAACCATGAGGAAAACCAGCGACTGAGACACCAGAGCCGGGATCAGAGCACAGAGAGAGTGGACCAGGACACAGACCAGAAGGACCGGTCGCTTCCCAAACCTATGGAAAGAGTGAAAACCAGCAAGGTTAAATCGGGCGTTGTTACAACGGCAACCACTGCTCCTGACGTAAGCCTTAGCGGCATCAGGATGGGTCAAATGCAGAGGATTGAATTGCCCTACGGGTATTAATAAAGTGCACCTTTACCTTTACCAGCTGAGACAAAGACCGGAGCACAGAGTGAGAGACAAGAGAGACAGCAGAGAGACCAGCGAGAGAGAGGGACCAGAGAGGGAGACCAGAGAGAGATCAGAGAGAGAGAGAGACCAGAGAGAGCAAGATCAGAACAGAGATCAGAAAGAGAGAGACCAGAGAGAGAGAGAGACCAGAGAGAAGGACCAGAGAGAGAGAAACATAAGAATAGCCTCAACATTTATGCTTTTAAAGTTGTGACAGATGTAAAATTCTTTCATGTTTAAGATGAAGCAGGTTCTACTATGGTGTCCGGGTCCAGGCGAGTGCAGGTTGTGAATGTTTACCGGTCTGAGATGGCTCCTCCCACCAGAGATCCCAGCAGCAGTCCTACCATGAAGAGAGTCTGACCATAAGACAACCATGAGCCCCAGCTGCACACAGACTGCACAAAACACCACAACAAGAGACAGCCCTGTGAGAAACTGTTTGACTGAGAGAGACCAGCAAGAAAGACCAGAGAGAGAGACCAGAGAGACCAGAGAGAGAGACCAGAGAGACCAGAGAGAGGGACCAGAGCGAGATCAGGGAGAGACTTGAGAGAGGGATCAGAGAGAGACCAGAGAAGGAGACCGGGTGAGACCAGAGAGAGAGAGACCAGAGAGACTAGCGAGAGGGACCAGAGCGAGATCAGGGAGAGACTTGAGAGAGGGATCAGAGAGAGACCAGAGAGGGAGACCGGGTGAGACCAGAGAGAGAGAGACCAGAGAGACTAGCAAGAGACCAGAGACAGTTCAGAGAGACACCAGAGAAAGAGACCAGAGTCGTTTTCCATCGAAAGATTGGACAGTCACAGAAGGGCCGGGGGGCCATATTAGCGTGGCTGGATCTCAAGACAGCTGCAGGTCTGTAATTGATCAGGAACAACGATATAATGTGGTCTCTCTCTCTAGTCTCTCGCTGGTCTATCTCTCTGTAACAATGTGCAGTTTAGATAATTCCTATAATGTGTAGTTCAGTGATCTCGCAATCATTACCAGAATCAGGGTCAGAGGCTTTATTCAAAACCAGGAGAAAGAAACTGGGAAGAAACATCCATAATTCAATGCTTCAAAAGGACAGATTACAACACAGTATTTTGAGTTTTTATGTCACAACATTGTCTCATAAACAGCTGTTTTTTTTGTCCATGCGCTTCCCCATGCCCCTTCTGTAGGAACTCTCTGTCTTTCTCTGCTCTGCTCTGGTCTCGCTATAATCTCTCTCTGGTCTCTCTTTCTTGTCTCTCTCTCTGGTCTTGCTCTGGTCTGGCTCAGGTCTCTCTCTCTTTTGCTTTTCTCTTTCGGGGAAATTACTTGGTAACCAAGGCTTCCAGCAGCACTCTGGCTAATCACTGTCAGTTGGAACACTTGAGAACCAGCTCGGTCCAATTGGGGTAGAGTAGAGCAGAGTAATGTAATGTTTACAGTGCCTTGCGAAAGTATTCAAACCTTTCAACATTTCGCCACATTTCAGGCTTCAAACATAAAGATATAAAAATTAAATTTGTTGTCAAGAATCAACAACAAGTGGGACACAATCGTGAAGTGGAACGAAATTTATTGGATAATTTAAACTTTTTTAACAAATAAACAACTGAAAAGTGGGGCGTGCAATATTATTCGGCCCCCTTGCGCTAATACTTTGTAGCGCCACCTTTTGCTGCAATTACAGCTGCAAGTCGCTTGGGGTATGTCTATATCAGTTTTGCACATCGAGAGACTGGAATTCTTTCCCATTCTTCCTTGCAAAACAGCTCGAGCTCAGTAGGTTGGATGGAGAGCGTTTGTGAACAGCAGTCTTCAGCTCTTTCCACAGATTCTCGATTGGATTCAGGTCTGGACTTTGACTTGGCCATTCTAACACCTGGATACGTCTATTTGTGAACCATTCCATTGTAGATTTGGCTTTATGTTTTGGATCATTGTCCTGTTGGAAGATAAATCTCCGTCCCAGTCTCAGGTCTTTTGCAGACTCCAACAGGTTTTCTTCCACAATGGTCCTGTATTTGGCTCCATCCATCTTCCCATCAATTTTAGCCATCTTCCCTGTCCCTGCTGAAGAAAAGCAGGCCCAAACCATGATGCTGCCACCACCATGTTTGACAGTGGGGATGGTGTGTTCAGGGTGATGAGCTGTGTTGCTTTTACGCCAAACATATCGTTTTGCATTGTGGCCAAAAAGTTAAATTTTGGTTTCATCTGACCAGAGCACCTTCTTCCACATGTTTGGCGTGTCTCCCAGGTGGCTTGTGGCAAACTTTAAACGAGACTTTTTATGGATATCTTTGAGAAATGGCTTTCTTTTTGCCACTCTTCCATAAAGGCCAGATTTGTGCAGTGCACGACTGATTGTTGTCCTATGGACAGACTCTCCCACCTCAGCTGTAGTTATCTGCAGTTCATCCAGAGTGATCATGGGCCTCTTGGCTGCATCTCTGATCAGTCTTCTCCTTGTTTGAGATGAAAGTTTGGAGGGACGGCCGGGTCTTGGTAGATTTGCAGTGGTCTGATACTCCTTCCATTTCAATATAATTGCTTGCACAGTGCTCCTTCAGATGTTTAAAGTTTAGAAAATCTTTTTGTATCCAAATCCGGCTTCAAACTTCTCCACAACAGTATCTCGGACCTGCCTGGTGTGTTCCTTTGTCTTCATGGTTCTCTCTGCGCTTTAAACAGAACCCTGAGACTATCAAAGAGCAGGTGCATTTATACGGAGACTTGATTACACACAGGGGCATTCTATTTATCATCATCAGTCATTTAGGACAACATTGGATCATTCAAAGATCCTCACTGAACTTCTGGAGTGAGTTTGCTGCACTGAAAGTAAAGGGGCCGAATAATATTGCATGCCCCACTTTTCAGTTTTTTATTTGTTAAAAAAGGTTAAATTATCCAATACATTTCGTTCCACTTCACGATTGTGTCCCACTTGTAGTTGATTCATGACAAAAAATTACAATTTTCTATCTTTATGTTTGAAGCCTGAAATGTGGCGAAATGTTGAAAGGTTCAAGGGGGTTGAATACTTTCACAAGGCACATTATTTATATAGCGCATTTTACAGACCAAAGTGCAGAGTTCAGATATTGTTCCAATTATTCCACACACGGTGATGACGGACCATCAAAGCCCCCAATCAACACCATCCATTCACTCTCTCATTTACATTTGTAGGATAAATTAAAATGACCTCTTTCCTCAATCAAAGACATTTTGTTGTATATTGAGACATACTATAACTTCCGTCTCCACTGTGTGTAAATCCTTGTGGTTCAGGTTTTATTGTGGGCAAGAATGTCTTAAGATAAGTGCCATGGCAACACCCTTCCCCCAACGACTCTAAAACAAGGGAAGAAAAACCAGTCTGCTTTGGAACCACGGAGTGACCAGGCAAGGCAAGGCAAGGCAAGTTTATTTATATAGCACAATTCATACACAAGGCAATTCAAAGTGCTGAACAAAACAAGAAAGCATTAAAATCATAAATTATCACAGAACATTAAAAAGAAAGATAAAAATATAAAATCCCTCAGTTGTATGCACAGTTAAACAGAACTGTCTTTAACCTGGTTTTAAACATTGTCAGAGAGGAGGCCTGTCTCACATCTTCAGGAAGACTGTTCCAGATTTTAGCAGCATGAATCTGAAAAGCAGCAGCCTCCCCATGTTTAGTTCTGACTCTGGGCACTAACAGGAGTCCAGTCCCTGTGCTCCTCAGAGTCCGGGCTGGTTCATATGGGACTAACATGTCATATCGTATATGGCACATTCTGACATTATTTTAAATTGTTGCACAGATGTGAGGTGAGGTCGGCAGTGTGCGTTAGCCCTCATTGTTTGTTGTTCAGTCTGACAGCAACATAAATTAAAGACCTGCAGAGCCTCTCCTTCACACAGTGAGGGTGGATCAGTCTGTCCCTGAAACTGCTCGCCGGAGCAGGGGGTGACAGTCATGGTCCAGCATAGACCCTCCTGTCCCCCCCCTGCTGCACTGTGTCCAGGGAACAGCCCAGGACTGAGCTGGACTTCCTGATACTCCAGCTTCTTCCTGTTCTTCTTGCATGATCTCCTTGTGGTTTGAGGGGAATCCTCAGACCACTTTGTTTACAATCTTCAATCAAGACAACCTTATGTAAATCTCAAAATCTGTTTGAAATACAAATACTGTATACCGGTACTTATTGGACTTGTATCTGGGTTTTTATGGGTGTGAAATGTTTACAAAGTATAACGCAGACGTGTTAAAACATTTTTAAAGAACATGTCGTCATGTCTAAACCTTCTGCAGACAGGCTGTGCTTAAGTTTGTAAGCAGCTTAAAGTTCATAACAACATTCATTATGTAACATGGCAGTGTTCACACAAGTTAGATAAAGTTTGATTTTTTTAAATACTTTTTGGTAAACTTTTGGATAACAAATCATTATTGGAAAATAAATAATAAATAATAATAAAACACGAGTCAAGTTCCCCCTTTGTTCAGATGAGCAAAACCGGTCATTAGCTTTTTAGGCACGGTGGCTAGCACTCTCGCCTCTCAGCAAGAAGGTCCTGTGTTCCCGGTCAGAACAGGGCCTTTCTGAGTGGAGTTTGCATGTTCTCCCCGTGTCTGCGTAGGTTTCCTCCAGGTGCTCCGGTTTCCCCTACCACTAAAAACATGCACAATAGGTCTGAAGTAAATGAGAGAGTGAATGGATGGTGTTGGGTCAGAGGCTTTGATGGTCCAGTGTGTTCTGGACTCGCTTCTGTCATCACCGTGTGTGGAAGGATTGGAACAATATCTATTCTGCTGTAAGTTTCTGAGTGCAGACTGATAAGACGGGCCTGCTGTGTCCCAGTCCAGCAGCACATGACGCTGTAGGGAGGGGAATGATACGGACTTTATCTGTTTATAGGCACATATTATGTATCTGTTGCGTTATAAGGACATATGACTGGTTAGAATTGTAAAACATTAAATCAAGTGGGGAGGTTGGGGTCATCTTTTATAGATGGTTTTCCATCACGTGCTTATTACCCATGATGCTTTGCGAGAACGCCATGTTGCGAGTCAAGCTTATACTGCAAGGATCATTTGTCCCCATTTCATCTAAAGTCATGAATTGGGCCAACACTGACCGCGTTAAGTATTCTGATACACCTGAGTAATCTGTGAGGCAAGATCCTTGGAGAAATTGAGAATGATCGTAGATTTGGATCCATATGAAGCGCGGCGAGACCAGTGGACTTCCCAGAAATGGCCACTTTCACTTCACAGTTATACAATTAAAAAAGATCACAATGTATATGATGCAATATTTCTTTCAATCAATAATTTATTTTGAACGAAGCAGTTGATATCACAGGCCGTAAA